AAATATACCAGAAACTATTTGCCGTGCAATGCATGTGACGGATGTGATGTAGGGGTCAGTGGAGAACGAAAATAGAAGCTGGAGTTATGAAAATTCCAGCAGCCTCTGTGGGATTCGAACCCTCACATGGAGCCCCCTACGATCGAATCAGGCCAGCAACAAAACTCGAACAAGTATTCCAGCCTCAGAAGTTCACTCGGTGAATTCTAAGGAAAACCCGTCGTGGCAATCAGCTTATACGCTACCTAGCGGATTCCATATTCCGTTGTAAGTTGGACGAGCAATAAGAATATGACCAAGTCAATGCTATCTGTATAGCCGAGTAGCTCAACTGGCAGAGTGTGCACTACATAAAAGGGTAGGGGGCGTCCATGCGTGATATCAGATCCTACCGAGGCTACTGAACTTCTCGAGATTCAAACAAGATTTAAATCTACCAAATAACATTCTATTTAAGGTATTCATCATGATAGATAGATAAATAGATGGATAGATTGTGGGACCTTCACCTAGTTTGGTAGAAACAAGGGTAATTCGAGGGGATTGCATAAGGGCATTTAAAATTAAAATGGGTATCTATAGGATCAACTTCGAGGAGTTTTCGCTAATGACTCCATGGCGGTATCAGAGTTCAGGAGCTAGAGCTGATAAAGAGAAGTGGTTAAGGTGTGCGCTCAAAAGTCTTAAACAATAGAATCGTTAACAGGTGAAATAATCTGCCAATGAAGTAGTGAACCTATCCAATGTCCAGGCTTTCCAAAATGGCACTGGGCAGCAAGTGGCTAAAACTATTATTCGATATAGATTTTTAACGGGTTATCGAAAGTTCAATGACGGACTGCATGAGGTTATGGTGACAGCCGTGAGACTAACCATTCAAGTTACGTTCAGTACATTTGTAAAACCCTGATACGGTACACTGTACGAACGATTGTTGAGAACCACAGTTGGTTCCCAAAGAAGCTGAACACGAAGTCGAACTGATAGAGGATCATCCCACAAGCATACTATTGAAGGAATTCCGGACGCCTGGTTTACCATGACCATTATCAGTCTTGTGCACTCTGAACTGGACTAAACTACCCCAGAAACTGCAGCTGAAAAGCCTTTCGAGGTCAAGGTTCTCAGATAGTCCGGAGGTAGTACAGCAGTGACCGTAAGGAGACAACCCCGCTGGTTAAGGGGAACTACGAGGTGACATTCTCAGGTAGGTAAGAAAACGAAGTCAATCATCAAGAATTCACCGAAAATTCCAGATAATTCGTGGAATGAGATGACATGAAACGTGCAGCAATGCGAGTCCACAATTTGGTGTATCGCATTGGTCACATTTGCCCTGGAATGTTCTAGAAACGGTCCTCATGCACATTTCCTAGAACACTCGAGCCCAAGTTATGTCAGGTCAGATCACGGGAGTAACGGTTGATCCCAACGAGAGTCCAGTTTATTGCGTGATCGGGCTCCCTCGTTCTTGACGCGTTTAGCCAGCTTTTGGCTTCTTAGTTCCACGTAGGGAATTTCTTTACGGTAGGATCCTATTAGCCTTAGTAGGGGCCAATAAAGTCGCATACCTCGAAGTAACTGGTAGGCCAAGCAGGTTATGAAGGGAAGGAATCGAGATAACGCTGCAGAAATCAGCAAGAACTGAGTGACATTCGGACAGACGCCTACTAGGTGATTATCAGACGGGCCATTGGTGGTAGGAAGGTATCGACTTCCGCGGGGAGTCACGATCACCTGTTCCTTGGCTCACACAAACTCATGCATCTCAACGGACCAGCAGGCCTAGCACATATAAATCACCAGCATCTGTTTTGTGTTGAGTGCATCTGGGGGTTTCCTTCGTCTGTATGATTCGTAAGAAGTGCACCTCGTTCGAGATCACGAATTGGCAAGCTAAGGTAACGAGTCTATACGTGTGGATATATGGATAGCCTGGACCAATCACTTTTTCATAACTCGGCAATATATAATTTCACATACATATACACCTATTAATATCATCTCATACTCCTATACAAGCATGCACACTTGCATATCCATGAGTTCATAACTGCGTGCGCATGCGCTGGTTCATGTTAAGAAAAGCCCATATGATAATAAATACAGCCAACCCGCAGATTT